AGAGAGAGAGAGAGAGAGAGAGAGAGAGGGAAAGAGATTAGGTAACTGAAGCTAAAAATGGAATCCAGGTCATTTTGTTTACTGAGGGAGAAAGTTTTTTTTTTTTTAAGCGGAAAGAAGTTTGGATTATTTCTCAATAGGTATTGTTAAGGTTTGACAATAGAGTTACAGATAGAATGAGTTGCTTCGAGAGATCGTGGATACCCTGGTTTTGTGATATCCATGGAAATGAATTCTTCTGTGAGGTGCATTTATCATTTGTTCGTTTTTCTGTATTTTAGCTTTCCCTATAATATTAATTTTGACTATCACATATTGGAAGAATTCCTGATTAATTTAAATTATTCTTTTTACCAATAAATAAGTTATTTACGTGTTTAATTTGCACATTTTATTATTTCGCATAGGAAATTTATTATGCGTGTAAGTCTTAGCAGCTAATTTTATAATTGAATTTAAAATCTTTTTTTATTAGCTGAAATTAAATTTTTAATTGACAATATTCAGTAGATCATGCATTTCACTGTAGTATTGTTCCAATTTATTTGAATTTGTTGAATAATACATCAGTACAGTGTATCCCATAAATGATAATTAGAAATACAAATTTCTTTAGTACCTACATATGGGCAATATTTTCTGGCTTAATATTTGATTTCACTTTTCTCTTTTTTTTTTCAAATTAACTATTGCTTATAACTTAGGTTGATGAAAGTTTTATCAATGATCGATTCAATTTAACTGGTTTGAGGGAGCTAGTGCCACATTATGAACGTGCTCTAGATTTGATTCTGGGCTTGGATCCATCAGGTAGGCTGGCAGAGAATTTTATCGAGTAGAATTGAAAAATATTTGGCTATCTTTTTCTAGTTTCAACGTTGTTGAATGACAGTTGATAGAAAAATTGCACATGAAATAATCTTATGCTCAATTCTTTGCTTTTTTTTTTGTCAAAGAATTCTCGAAAATTTTCCAAAAGTACAGGTAGTACAGGTGAGGATGAGGAAGAATATTTAACCCGAAGTAATGCTGAAGAACGTGAAGCTCGAACACTCTATGGACTCATTCATGCACGTTATATTATGACTGATTCTGGTATCAATCAAATGATAACTAAATGGAATAATGGTGATTTCGGATTTTGTCCTCGTTTCTATTGCAACGAACAAAGTTTACTACCAATTGGTATGAAATTATTTGTCATCTATGAAATGTCTTATATTGTTATTTTTGTGATAAACATATATAAATCTTTGTTAAATTTCTAATACCGTAGAAAATATGTTAAGAATGAGAATGAGGAAGAATTTCTTTTAAATCTTGTAAGCAGCATTTAGTTGAAAGTTGAAATAATATCGCTTGATATATGACAGATAAGAATTTCCTATTTTGAAAATAAAAAACTGGCATTCATTCTTTGCAAGAAATGATATAAAATTACAGAATCAGTAACGTTCTGTGAAATTATTCATTCTTTTTGTGCTAGAAATTATTCTTTTTTTTTTGTTTTCTTGAAAAGATTGTTGCACAATATTAATTTCTCGTACAGGACTTTCCGATATTCCGGGAATATCAACGGTGAAATTGTTTTGTCCTAAATGTATGGATATTTATATGCCAAAGAGTACATATCATCAGGATATCGATGGTGCATTTTTTGGTACAAGTTTTCCTCATATGTTATTCTTTGAGCATCCAGAATTAAGACCGAAGCGATCAGTTGATAATTTTGTTCCACGGTATGTAACATATATTAAATTTTAATTACAAAATTTTTTTTATTAAAAAAATTATAAATTATTGATTTTGTAAGATGTAGATAAATCAATCTATGTTATTGCTTCCCGAAACACGATTAGTTAGCATATCTCAAAAGTTTTAGGCAATTTAAAATTGTTGATACTATCATATATCATTCCTTTCAGATTATTTGGCTTCAAAATACATCCTACAGTATATGAATAAACTTGAATTATCACAACTATTTCTTGCTAACTCTTAGCAGTTTACCATTACATACTTCTTTTGTTTGTTTCGCTGTTTTGAAATTTCTTAAAAATGCGGCTTATGATCCTTATATATGTATATCTCGCTTTGTTATATGAAAAGTTCATTTCCCGTTACAATTTATATGCAATAAGCACAAATACTATGGATTCATTGTTTTCGAAGTTTTTTTTCCTATTGTAGTTTCTTGAATCGTATATTGCATACAGATGCCAATAAACAGTTTCAAAATATGGCAAAGACATCATTACTCTTGCTCTTCAAGAGACTTCAGATATAATTATTATATATCATAAAGTATTTAAGTTGTTAAATGAATTGTTACTTTGAAAACTAAACTCTTAAAAGTTCGATCGTACATAACCGTAAAACTGCTTGCAGCTGTGTCCGTGATAGAGAGCTTGCTATATTGAGTTGCAAGCAATGTTCCTAGCTCGCGCTGGAAGGTGTGTTGCAAAAAATTGTCAAAATCGAAACAAACCATTACAGCAACTGAAGCCATTGAGTAGTTTAAGAAGCAGTGCTCATAATGGCGGCATATTTCCCTTGTTTTACTTTTTTTGCTGAAAAATATGGGAATTCTAGGAAAGCAATGTTTTATTCCAGCAGCATTAACAAACACAAAAAAGTGCCAAGAAGGATTGAATTGCTGTCATCATTTATAATGACTACTGTCTTAACGAAGGTAGCTGAAATTATTCGTCGATGATGGTGCAGCACCAAAGAAATTAGGTTGTGATTGTCGGTTCATAGCTCGAGATGGTGCAAATCCAAGCATCTTTTGCAAATTTTGTCTTAATGTCATGGTACAAAGTATGTACAGAAAGATGAAAGAACAATCCGTATAATCATCTCCAATGAGATTCCTGAAAAAATGTGAATCACTACCAATCTTTTGCAAATCCACACAACCCTAAATATCCTGACATCTAGTCTTTACTTTGATAAGTAAAACATTTTCGATATGTATATATATATATATATAT